ACAGTTGTTTGCCATCAGATTATGCTTCTGCTAGAGGTTCGTCGATCGTGTTTTTAGAAAAAAACAACTTTTAAAAAGGATTCCTTGTTCAGGTATTTATGTACGCTGTACATATGGAAAACATAGGACATTCAAAATCCATAACATATGCACACAGAATGCTGATCAAATGCGGTTGGTATCTTTAGTGTTGATACTTTGATACTTTCTCAAGATCAACGAAAAAATTTCGTTGATTTGGTTTTGTGTTTTATTGATTTATCCCGAAACATTCAGTTGATATCTCGTGATATCATGAGAATAATCACTAAGCTGCGATTATTTCACTACTACTTTTTACCGTTTGATTTTGATGAATTTTTTTCATTTGTTTGTTCGGTTTTGTTATTTCTCATTTTAGTAGTTATTCATGGAGACATACCTAAAACAGACACGTCTCTTAAGTATCAGTTATCGCATCAGTTTTTACAGTGTTAAAGAAAATCTTGTGAGATATAACGGTGAGGTGATGTGATCAGAAAACTATGTCAGCCAGCCAGCAAATTATTGTGGAATATCAAGTGATCAATTCAGGTTCGACGTAGTTGGCAAAGATCAGCAAAAGAAGAAAATATCAGTGGCGGAATATTTCAAAACGAATGTCGGCATTGCACTCAAATTTGCAAGGTTACCGTTAATCATTGAGCGTTGTGAAAGCGGTGAGAATTACTATCCGATGGAGTTGTTGGTGGTTTGCGAGAATCAACGAGTGAAACAAACACAACAATCATCCGAGCAAATACAAGCAATGATTTCGGTTCGTTCTCTATTTGTTTATTGATTATTCATTTTTGTTTTTATATTCACCTCATTGCACGTCTATTAAATGTTCGTTTGTTGCGTTATGTTGATGTCACATATGTTTGTTTTTGTATTATTCATTTGATTGTGTGCTTCCAAACGTGATTAGTGTAATCAGCGAGAAATTTCACTGAATGAAACAACAATATGTATAAATTTGTAGATATTGAAGAAGTAACGCTGATGATTGCTGTTGCTAATCACTTTGAAAGTTTTCGGAAACATTTGGAAAACAACTGAGCAGATGACTTTGAGGAGAACAAAAATTTGAAGTGAATCACGTTTGTATTTAATTTATTGGTGATAACTGCATTCATTGGTAGATTTGCAGGCATGTGCTGCATTACCATCGGATCGTAAACGTCAAACGAGTATAATGACACAAGCGTTGAAGTTGGACGGTGCCACTAAAAATCGATGGTTCGATGAATACAATGTGAAGATCACGAAAAATCTGGCGGTGTGTTTGTTTGAATTCGCTTTTGATTGGTTGACTGAATCTTATTGATGATTATACCAAATTTATTTTATTACATGTTTTTCCCATCGTTCTTCTCATTCAAGGATTCAAAATTTTCTGTCACTTTCGAGATTATTTTTGTCGTTTTGGTCATCAGTAGGGGTAATATCATTTGTTGCAGTTGGAAGGACGTGTGCTGCCATCCCCTCAAATAGAATACGGACGTAACGTGAAAACGCCCGTCAATCCTGAACGTGTCAGTCCAAACAATAATTCTTTGGGATTCGTTTGTTTAATTCCAGTGGAATGTTCAAATTTAGAAACTTGATTTATTAATGAGTAATATAGAGGTATTTCTGGCTTATTACTATTTGTTTAAGTTATGTCAAAAGTTGTTTTGTAGTCGAAACGCAGTGATATCTTTTGGGATCATAATGAAATTAAAATCGTGATTGCGTTAAAATTAGCATCCTTTTGCAGACGTCGTGGATTGCATCCAAAAATACTTATTTGTATCCGG